AAGATAAAATAGAAAATTTAATTATTTTCTTAATTTGTGTGAAAAAACCTTACACGATGTTGACAAAAAAAAAACTTACACGATAACTAATTGAAAACAGAGGGAGTATTTATTATCCACCTAAACATAATTTAACTAATACTCCCTCTGTGATGTTTTAGCAAAAAAGTTTTGTATCATTATAAGTGATGTTTTCAGTTTTCTACAAAAATTTAATGTATTTAATACTTTTTGACCAATCATATTTTATATTATATTTTTTATTGGTTGAATTCATATTAGTTAATGATGTTTTCTGAAAATGGGTAAATTATATGTTTTATTAATTGGTGTACCAAAACCTTAAACATCATTTAAATTGAAACAGTGGGAGTAACAAAGTTATTGTGTAATATAAATGGTCAACACTAATAAAAGTTAATTAGGTTCGTATTGATATCTAGTCTAAAACAAAATAAATTCCTAAAAAAAAAAAAAAAAATTGAAGGAGTATTCAAATCTAAATAGTAAGTATTAGAAAATTGTAGTAAAGTAAAAATTTCGAAGATATGGAGAAATTAAAATGTGATATTATTGTAGCGGGTAAACTACCGAAGAAGAATAAAGTTTCATGGAGGGGAGATTCAGGGCTGAAGGATGGGTTCCCCGACGTGGTCGGAGGTTTGGTCGGAGGTTACTACGACGGAGGAAGCAACGGCAAGTTTCATTTTCCGATGGCATTCTCAATGACAATGTTAAGTTGGAGTCTCATTGAGTATAGCCACAAATACAAAGCCATTGATGAGTATGATCACATGAGAGATGTTCTCAAATGGGGAACTGATTATCTTCTTCTCACTTTCAACAACTCTGCTACTCGTCTTGATCATATCTACACTCAGGTAATTTCATTATTAGTGTATTAGTGTAATCTTTACAAGTTTCTTATAGTTTCTTGGGAGCCAAGAACCTTATTTCGTGCATACCAAGAAACCTATACCTTAAGGCTCTTGACTAGTTTTTGATCAAAGCTTTATTTCCATGACTTGTAGGTTGGTGGAGGATTAAGAGACTCTGAATCACCAGATGATATTTACTGTTGGCAAAGACCAGAAGATATGTCCTACGATCGTCCTGTTCTGTCCTCGACTTCCGCTGCTGACCTAGGCGCTGAAGTTGCTGCTGCCTTATCCGCCGCCTCAATCGTGTTCACCGACAAACCGGATTACGCGAAAAAACTCAAAAAAGGTGCAGAGACTCTATATCCCTTCTTTAGAAGCAAGTCTAGACGCAGACGCTACTCCGATGGACAACCAACGGCTCAAGCTTTCTACAACTCAACTAGTATGTTCGACGAGTTCATGTGGGCTGGTGCGTGGCTTTACTACGCTACTGGAAACAAGACTTATATACAATTCGCCACCACGCCGAGTGTGCCTCAAACGGCTAAAGCTTTTGCTAATCGGCCGGAGTTGATGGTACCTAGCTGGAATAACAAGTTACCTGGAGCTATGTTGTTGATGACTCGGTATAGATTGTTCTTGAACCCTGGTTTCCCTTACGAGAACATGCTCAATAGGTACCATAATGCTACTGGTGTTACCATGTGCGCTTATCTCAAGCAGTACAATGTTTTTAACCGGACTTCAGGTGATTTAAATTTGCTCTGTTTCCTCTGTTTTTACATTTGTATGCGTCTAGAAAAGGACTTGAATTTTTTTCTTTTCACAATATTTTCAGGAGGGCTTCTACAACTTAACATGGGGAAACCAAGACCACTTGAATATGTGGCTCATGCTTCCTTCTTAGCTTCTTTGTTTGCTGATTATCTTAATTCAACTGGAGTTCCTGGATGGTACTGTGGCCCAACGTTTGTAGAGATTCATGTTCTCAAGGAGTTTGCTCAGTCTCAGGTAAGAACAAATCAATGGGCTTTAATTCTTTATTACCCTAGAAATATGACTAATGAAATGATTATGTTTTATATTCTATCAGATTGATTACATTCTTGGAGACAATCCTCTAAAAATGAGCTATGTGGTTGGGTTCGGGAAGAAGTTTCCAAGACGCGTTCACCACCGAGCAGCGACGATTCCAAACGACAAGAAGAGAAGAAGCTGTAGAGAAGGATTGAAGTATAGAGACACAAAGAATCCAAACCCAAATAACATCACAGGAGCTATGGTTGGTGGACCAAACAAATTCGATCAGTTCCATGACTTGCGAAACAATTATAACGCGAGCGAGCCTACTCTATCCGGTAACGCAGGCCTTGTGGCTGCTCTCATTTCCTTAACCAGTAGTGGTGGACAACGAATCGATAAGAACACGATGTTCAATAGTGTTCCTCCTCTTTACCCTCCATCTCCACCTCCTCCTAAAGCCTGGAAGCCTTGAGAAATATTTCATTTACTTCACTGAGTTTCAATTATAATATGTTACATTCAATCTTTCTTTTTTTTTGGTCACCTGGTTATACAAATATAAAAAAAAATATTGTGTTTAAATACATATAATGTTGTTCCAGTGAAGCCTAGAGAAATTAAATCAATGTAGTCTTTTACTTGAGAAAAATAAATTAGAGAGAATAACTTGATTTTAGTTGATGAATCGGTATGTATAATATTTATTTATGGAGACAAACAGACGATAGAAGAACAAATGTTAAAACGTTTAATGAAGATGGAGTTATAAAATAGAGAGTTTAGATTCTGATTTTATATATAGGGCAGTCTTAATTAACAAAAATTTCACTCTTGTTGGTTGTTATCGTCATTAGGTCAAATCAAAATGTGAAAAGGTTAAATAACATGCTTGAATGGTATCAAGCATGTTATTTAACCTTTTCAAATCAAAGTTTTGTATTTTTGTTTAAGCATGGTTAAATATAAAATTTTTCTATTTTTGTTTCATATTTTGAACGTGATTTCGTTGAATACATATCATTCTGAAAAACTTATGATACTAGATTATGTATACGCGCGTTGCGCGGGATTTTAATTTAAAAACTCTTCTATCAATATTAATCTTTGAGCATAACTATAATCATTAAAATCTTAAAAGATAAAAGCTATATAATTAAACACTAAACTAAATTTTATGTGATATACAACATATATATTGTTGGCGATAGTGTTTTATTGACAAATAAATGATTTAATATTATTACATGGTTACACAAATTATTTGAAAAGATTTGCGAGAAGAGTATGTCCGACTTTGAATCTTGTAGTATGTCTTGAGTTTTAGAAAAACTCACTTCATCACGATAAATGAGATCTCAAATATTTCAAAATTTAGTCATATACATTATCTTTTAAAGTTATAGTCATTTGTATTCAATCGCTTTTAACTACTAATTCTTTTGTGATCTTCTACGATGCACTCATTACCTCTTTACATCTAGTTTATTTCCACCTTCTATTAACTCTCATATAGTATATATTGAAGTGTGAGTTGATTTTTAAGACATATCATAACAATTTCTTCTTTAATAATAGTCTATTTTGGGTTAATAGCATTTGATTCAAATGATGGGATATCAAACTTGTTTTTCTTTTTGATTATGTTAGAATGTTATAGTTCTACTTGAGAATAAGTAAACTTTCTTTTTGAGATATGCTACACAAATACATATCACTTTACGGCTTACATATCACTTTCTATATATTTTATTGTAGAACTCATGAATAATGTGATAATTAATTATTTATTATTTTAGAATATGGATAAAAATGGTTTTTATAATTTTAATATTTTTGATAGAATTTCACGGCATATAGTGAGACCTTTCAAATATTTTCGTCTTAGAGTATTTTAAATTAAGTTTAGTAATCTTTGTTTTTAGTTAAAATTTAATAATAAATAAAAATATATAATATTCTTTTTAGAACTTATGTTTCACTTTTAATTTATTTTTCCTCTTTAAAATTCTAAAAGTAAAATTAGAAAAAATTTGTATTATTCTACCATGCATTTACACATTACCACATTTAAAATTCCAAAGTATGACTATTTTAAAGTTTGTTGTTGTTTAGAGTTTGAATCATACTATTATTACTAATAAAATTCTCATAGTATTGGTTTTACTATTTTAAAATTAAATTTACATATTGTAACGCCTATATTATCAAAATAAATGTAAAATCACCGAAACTTAGTTGGGGATGAAGCAATGGAATGAGCGATTATGCATTTAAGTATTTAGGCGTGGAGATTTGAAAAGCAAAAATTTCATGAGCGATTATTAAATCAGAAAGGGACTGAGTTTCTAAATTCCGATAAGCTAAAGTGGAAACGACAGAAATCAGTAGAAGAAAGAACGTAAGTGAGAGACTGTCTAAACCTATTAACTTATTTGAGCTTAAATTATATTGGGCTAAACAATGTGTTCCTTTTAATGTCATAGAAAATAAGCCTAATTTGGATATAAAAGTGTTGAGGCTTAAATTATAAACTAAAATAATGAACAAAATATATGGGTTTAGATTATTTGTTGGGCTTGACACAAAAATAGAAAAAATGATGAACTAACAGGCCAAAACAATAAAATGATGAACAAAATATATGAGTTTAGATTATTTGTTGGGCTTGACACAAAAATTAGAAAAATGCTGATGTGGACAGCTTTAGAGGGAGAGAGAAGTCTCCCATTATATATATAGATTTTCTAAATAACTATTATAAGATATTGTTTTGCAAAAAAAAAAAAAAAAAAAAAATTAGTTTTTTCAATGTTAGATCTTATTATTTGAAGATATTTTAATTTATGGTTAATTTTGTTACAAATTAAATGACTAATTGATAGACTTTTCTACCTGAATCATGCTAACGATAGAGAATTTTATGATCACAACAAAGAACGAGAGTGGAAAAGCTAAAATTGTTTTCAATTCTTTCAACCTTTCTATTTTTATTTCTGTTTAAAAGTTTTATAGATCTCCCGTACTATTCGTTGTAAAACCGAACCATTTTTCTTTTGAATATAAGTTAACATTAAATTCAAAAAAAAAAAAAAGACAAAGCTAAAATTAATGATTGTATTTATCATTTGAGCTTCAATACAAGTTCTCAGTTTCATGAAATAATAAAAATCCACTCAATAAAAACAAAGATGACATGATTTGGAAGTCTAGTTAACGAGCATCAGGGGTAGTAACAATGTCAAAGTTCATGTTCACTTCCATAAAAGTTTCTGAGTTCTTGTTTTGATTTGTTCCTCTCCTTGCGTTTTCATATGCCAAACATTCGTTTAACTCGATAACAACTTGAGACATTGTTGGTCTTCTAGCTGAAGAAGGATTTAGACACGACATTGCTAGTTCAACTGCTCTCCATACGGAACTCGAGTCATAATCGCCACATAGTTTTGGATCCATTATGCATTTTATATCTCCGTTTGTAAGCATTACGCCCACCCATTCAGCTATATGTGGATTTTCACGGTTTTGATTGATTACTGGCTGGCTTGTGATGACCTCTAATAGTACTATTCCGAAGCTATAAACGTCGCTTTTTTCGTTCAGACAGTTTGTTCGATAATATCTGCAAAAGACGATGAAAAAACCCGACAATTTATCTCATTGTTAGTTTAACTTAAACTCAATAATCTAACAGTCTCATAAGAGCAACATTATTGAGAGCATCTTAGAATTGAAAATGGGTATCTTAGCACAGTGTTTTGTATCTTATATATAACACTTACTCCGGATCAAGGTATCCAGGGGTTCCAGCAACTACTGTTGAAACAGGAGTTTCTCCTTCGGTTGGAAAAGATCTCGAAAGTCCAAAATCAGCTAGCTTGGCTTGAAAATGTTCATTCACCAGTATATTTGTGGTTTTGACATCTCTGTGCACCATTGGTGGTTTGCATCCATTATGCAAGTATTCCAACCCTATGCAACCATTTACATTTTCATCAAATTTCTAAGCAAACTAGTAACGAAGAACATGGAATTTTAAAACTCATGCCAAACCTTGTGCGGATTCGACAACTATTTTTAGTCTAGTTTCCCAATCTAGGATAGATTTCCGTTGGTTCCCTACATTTGAACCAATATATGATTATATCTGCGAAAACGCCATAAACAGTTATGTCTTTGCAGCAACTCATTATATTTACCTGAAATATGTTCTCTGAGATCTCCGTTAGCCATGTACTCGTAGATTAGAGCTAAGTTCTCTCCTTCATCACAATATCCAACGAGGCCAACTAAATTTTTGTGGTGAACTCTAAGAAGAAGTTCCACCTAGAACAGTACATAGAAGAACCATACATCGTAATTTGACATTTCACTATTAAAAACAATAGTGTTTCTACACACTTTTAGTACTAACTTTGTCTAATTTTACCTCTGCTTTGAACTCTTTATACCCTTGAGAAGATGAGTGTGAGAGCATTTTAACGGCTACTTGTTCAGTACCATTTTCAGTTCCATGATAAACCATACCAAATCCTCCTTTACCAAGGACCATTTCAAAGTTATTTGTCATCGTTATAACCTCTGAATAAGTAAATCTTTTCTTCTTAGTTATTATTGTCGGTTCTGAAGATCTGGTTGTTCTAGCAACTAGTCCTTGTGTATGTGAGGATGGACCTAAAGTTACAAAGCATCAGTATATTGGGACTATATGCATACATATTGTGAAACATATTTCAATGTTTAAGTCAATTTAAAATGGTTTTTGAGTATACCGTTACTATTTGATGTATTTTTCCTTTTTATCACAACAAAAATAGCCACTGCAACTCCAAGAACAACCACGAATGTGACAGATGCAGCTATCGATACTACAATGGCACCACCATTTCTGGATACACATAATCTACCCGAACAACGAAGATTTCGATTTCCTGCAAGACTGTGGGTTACCAATGTTACTTAGGAAAATTGAACACATAAAGTTTAGTAAATATGATATGATAGAAAGAAAAAGAATACTTTAAGTTTAATTCTTTCTTCCCTAGAAGGGTTTGAGGAACAGGACCATTAAGATTGTTCCCACTTAAGTTTCTGTTCAAGTATACATAGAGTTAGAAACATAAGCAACTTTGCAATAAATAACAAAAAAAAAGATATGTGTATTGTCTTCTTCTAACGACTCACATAACCAAGAGCGATTTCATGCCAGCAAGAAACTCGGGTATGCCTCCCGTCAAACTGTTATTTGACAAGTCTCTAAAAGAAGCATTTGTAAGTATCCAAATTATAGATATGTGATATAAATAAGATACAATGAAGGTGAGATTATGTTCAGTTGTAAAATTCGAAATACTTACAACTTTTGTAGGTGTCTTAGATTCTCAATGGCAGGTGAGATTGTCCCCGTTAAACCACTTGAGGCTAAGTTTCTAATAAGCACATTTCATGTAAGAGTGTGACAAAACCGAACATAACAACCGCAAATAATATAAAGATTGATCTTACAAGATAGTGACAACAGGTGGCGTGGACATATCTAAGTCATTGCAGTTTAAACCATCCCACAAATACTGTTTAGGGACGCAAGGATCTCCATGCCAGCTGAGTCGGTTACTCAGTCCATAAGTAGCTTGGATACTCCTCATAGCAACAACTACAAAAAGTTTCTGGTTATATCATTTAATAACCCCTGATAATACAACGATTCATAAAGAATAAAATTAAATTAATTTCTATATTAGTAAAAGAGAAGTACAAAATAGAATACGAGTCAGATTAAAATTAAAAAATTAACCCGATTTTAATAATTGAATACTTTAAAATTGGAGATTAAATTGGGTTTGGATACTTACATTGGAAACTTCCCAAATCTTATTTTAGGATTGTATTATTTCCATAACTAATTATAGGATTTCCTAATATTTATCTAACCAATCTCTATATTAGTAAAAGAGAAGTATAAAATAAAATACGGGTCACGGGTCGGGTTAAAATTAAAAAATTAACCCGATTTTAACAATTGAATACTTTAAAATTGGATATTAAATTGGATTTGGATACTTATATTGGAAACTTCCCAAATTTTATTTTAGGATTGTATTATTTTCATAACTAATTATAGGATTTCCTAATATTTCTCTAACCAATTTAATATAATCTGTTAAAAAATATTATTATTCTTTCACTTTTATTTGATCTTATTTTTAATTTATATATTCTACTATATAATATACAAATATATGATTTACCGTAATCGAGTGCACTGCAATAAAATTAAAATGTAACATATTCTAATCCGTTAAAGATTATATATATGTAATTATTTCCCCCGCGCTGTAGCGCGGGTCCGAACCTAGTATATACTCATTAGCCATAACACATACCATCATCTTCATTTGTTTCCAAATGTGAAAAATCTATCACGGTGAAAACCTCAAGAGCGTTGATGAGAGGGGGAAGAGTAGAGTTGAGTGTTTTCGTTAGTTCCAAAAGGCATTTCCCTCCTTCACATTGTTGTGCTGTCGCGTCGGATAAAGTTCTCATGACTAACGTGCTTGGACTATACCGTTCATATAAAAGTTCTCCATTCAAGGCCACGTTGAATTCTCGGTTATCGGAGGAATCAAGAGTTTCAATCTCACCAAAGTGCATGTACATATAAAATTTTGTTGTGGGAGATGGCAAAAACCAGGTGAAGTTCCATGGCGCTGATGTACTTATAGGTGTTGAGGCCGATCCCATTACAATTTGTGGTGGTTCATAACCATTAGAATTGTTTATAGCCAAGTTGGTAGTTAATTCTTTCCATTCTTTTGCATTAAAGAACGGATACCATTTACGATCATCAACATCATCAGGGTACCTAACATAAATTGGTTAGTCACGTATTAGAAACTAACATTTTTTTATATATCTTCTTATTTGTATATAAAACTTGGTTCAAAAAATACTAACTACATTACCGCGACACGTTTCAATTTTACCGATTAGAGATTTTGACGTGTGATTTAATTTTTACTTTTACTATATTTAAAAGATGTAATCTTAGTTAATAGAAATTTCTTATTTTAAATCTAGGACACTTTTTTTTTTTGGATTTAAAAAGAGAAAAAAAAGTAATAGGTAACCAATCGCGGGCCGCCACGTGTCAGTGGGGCCTGTGAATAGTGAAAAACCAAGGCAGAGGACTTTTCTATGTAATGAACGTCCCTCTTGTATTTTTTTCTTTTTGAGTTTTTCTTTTTAAATAAAAATGTGGGAGACTGGATATAACACCACCGATCCCCATGGTCTAATGTCTTGATTGGTTGTGACTTTAGAATCTTTCCACAGCCAATTTTTGGTCAACAGAACTAAATTCAAAGACATCAAACTTTAGAAAATCTTGATTTCCTTTTATGATTCACAACCAAAATATTTCCTTAATTATTTTGTGGCTGTACAATACACTTTTCTCTAAAGCACATTATTTTCATCTTTCCAAAAGTTTAATTTCTACAGCCAAAACACTACAGCTATAAAATCTACAGCTACAGCAAAATAATCTACAGCTTAGAACCTACTGTAAAAAAAACCAAAGCTACAACCGTGATCAATCAAGGCCTAATCAAATTTTTTCGAACCAAACGAGAAACAAAAATGCAACTAGATTAAATCGAAAGGGCATATGATTAATACCGTATGTTTTGTCCTGAAGCGCTGAAATAATATCGGAAGTAATAATTCAACGAGCCGCTCTGACTTTTGTAAGTATTGTTTTGAAGTGGTCGTAGCTCTAAAGTATTAATCATAGGCGAGCTTCTTCCTGTCTTAACAAGACAGATCTGGAGAGACTTAGATACGGTCATGTGAATGATCTCTTGAATAGTACCGTTGGTCCGTCCTGCCATATCAATTGTTGCCCACAGATTCGGACCAAGGTAAAGGTCAAACTTGGGGTAACTGTTAAGGTCATCGTAGTTACCATACACGAATACGGCTCTGATCAGGTAGTTTGTGCCTTGCGTGACCTCAAAGGTATAACAGTTTCGAAGTCCCTTAGGGAAGTACCTAAGGTTCAAAGATGGTTTGCTGAAGATAGACGTGAACTCTTTCTGGATTCTACCCATTTCGCCACTACGAACAAAACCGTCGTCCGTTGAGTATGTTAATCCGGTTGTAGGATCGTTGTAAGGAGGCTCGTTAGGCGATAACCCGCAATCTAAACTGATGAATCCTGGTAAGACATATATGAGCAAAATGTTGTCAAAACAAGTAAGAATATTTTTCTGACTGCATTAGAATTAGAAACAACAAATAAGGAGTTTTATGTATATACCATTTTGGTCCTGAGCTTGAACATTATGTACAATGGCAAAAAAAGTGACAAAGATCAACGCATATAACAAAAGTCCTCGAGGATGCTTTTCCATTATTCTTCTATGGTATACAAAGGAGATTGGCATTTACAAAACGAAAAACGCATAAAGCTTTTGAGATCTCTAGGCATTTATAAAGATTGTTAACATAAGCACGACTATATATGTGTTGGTAAACTTTTGAAGGAAAACAAAAAAGTCAGGTGATTGCATAAAAGACAATAATCTAAAAAGTGTGACTCGATTACTATTCTTATAAGAATAAGAAAATAAACGATTCAATTATTTGGTTACCAAAAAAAATAAAAAAATAATGACGATTCAATTATTTACATTTGACGCTATTGTTCCATTTTAACAATTTATTTTACTAAAAATTACTCAAGAAGGGATTTGGAAATACTCACTGATTTTGAAATCATACATGTGAATTTTGAAATAACATGTTTTGACTCGAAACTTTCAGTTTCACTTTCAATCATTGATATATATGTTAATTCATATATGATTAGAAATTTCTTATTGATTTTGAAATGAAAGAATTTGAGTTTTGAAATAATATCCACGGATTTGAATCCCTCTATTTTTCACTTTCAAATCTACTCACATCTTTTTAAACTATATATAATGTTCTTATAATATAATCCTAGTATTTATAAATTATAGATAGAATAATACATGATTTTTGATAAGAATTTAACAATCAGTGATTGAATAGCACATGCTTTTCTTTTCTTTTTTTGGTTTTTCAAGTCTATTAAAATCCATGATTGAATGATTTTTTTAATGTAGGTTTAGAAATCCAAAAAAAAAGAAGTAAAATATGCCTATTAAAATGCAAGTTTACACCCTTTTAAAAGAAACAATGATTGGGAAGAACAAAATGGTCCCAAAGGCCTAAACCTTATTTAACAAACTTATATAATAAAACTAAACGTAGCAACAACTGGCTGCGCTGGTCCAGGCAAGAGACGTGCATGCAATAACACAACAAAACCTTCCTAAGTTCCTATGATATGGTCATTAATTGACTTTGACCTTTGTGTTTAATTTACTAGATGATAATTTGAAATGTTTTGTTTTCTGTTTCTTTCTAATCAATTAAGCTATCATCGGCAAAGTTCAAAAGCTTGAGAATCTTGCATTTTGTCGGAAACTTCACAAACTGCAAAAGTGATAATCGAAATTGAAATAGACCAAACCAAGAAGTGTAAAAGACACAAAAGAGAACTAAAAAGATCAACTGCTCATATATAGTGAAGGCTCTTATATAGCCTTGCAACAAACTACTTCCAAAATAGGAAGAAAAAATTCTAATCAGCCAAGAAAACAAATCTCAAATTATCCCTAATTGTAGGGATCCATTTCAACATGAATTATATCGACCAGTTATTTCTAAAAGAAGTCTTCATGTAATATATTCTACAATTTAAACCCTACTCACTACTCACTGAGCGAGACAAGAACCTGGTTCCAAAGGCACGACTCGTCCGCCACCAACCAAAGGCGCGGCTGCGACTCCTCTTTGATTCAATAAGCATCTGAAGTGAGCCAACCTCGTTGTTACCTTGTCTGGATTTTTAGCTAACTTTGCATAGGGTGTCCACAACCGCTCTTTCAAACACAAAATATATAGTTAATCTTTAGCAATTAGCACACCTTATGTTATAAATTATTTTGCAAGCTGTGTAAGAAAAGACCAAAACTACCTGCGGCTGCGGCAGCGCGAGGCCAAATGGTTTGTTCAATGTCAGAAGCATCAATATGTTCACCCCACATGCAAACCTCTCCACCAAGTACTAGACTTTGTTGCTTTTTATCCTTTATGTCTTGAAGTGGTTCATTTGAGTAAAAGCCTTGCCAAGGTGCGTCTATATGGTCCAAATACCATTTGTCTTGGTTACTCACTATACACCTTAAACCGGACGCTGTCACTCTCTCAACAACTCCTGTACCAAGCCTGATTCACCAAAGTAAAAGTTAGTTTAGATTCAACATTAAGTGACAATTTTTACTTGTTTTGCACGTATGCGTTTACCAGTTGTGAACCACGGTTTTCGGGTTTAATTCGCTTCCAAAATTGTTGAAGGTTTCTTCCCTACAATATAACACATTTAGAGCAAAATTTGTAAGTCATAGAAACTTTTTTGATTACTTTTGTTTTTCGTTTTCTAATGAAAGCGCATTTAGTTTATTACCAGTTAATAATTTCATATCCATGAGACATTGCGATTTTTTGCGCCCGCAGCACGAAGTATTGATAGGCTTCGTCTTCTCTCATCCGATGCTTTTGAAGCCTTCAGGTTATAAAGTTAGAGTAAAATGAGGAAAAAGGTTTTAAAGAACTTTACAACTCTCCTATATATCATTTACCATTGGGCTATTCGCGGTGTTGCTGACCAACAAGCTGCAACAACATACATGTAATCAAAAGCAAACACTATAGAGAGGGGAATATGATAAACAGATGAGGAGATATGCATTACTTGTATTTACTTCGTCACCTCCCAAATGAACAAACTTAAACTTAAAGATCTTGCTGAAATCTGATAATATAGTTCCATTAGAATTCCGGAAAGCGAATGTTACGCGAATGAAAGTGTTCCGAATCAAGATTTTTACCAGAAAGAATGCCATCAATGACCTTGAATGTAAAGTCACTACTCACGTCAAGTGGTTCTTGACAATTCTTGGACGGCCACAAGGAAGGATAGCCTTTTCCCCTTTGATTATTAAGTCATATGAAACTTATAGTTACTCTTATCAAATGCGAAATTGCGAAAATATAAATGTTGATAATGAAGAAAATTACCATGAGAGAGCGTGTCCTGGAACATCAATCTCAGCCAAGACATGGATCCCTCTTCGCCCCGCATAACTAAAAATTCATACAAAAATGTTAAATAAGAAGAGAGTATCCTATGAATTTGAATTGTTTTAGTATCTTCATGAATTTTAAGAACTAAAATTAGTAACACATGTTCATAAATCAGTATGAATTCCAACATACTTGACGATTTCCGCGGCGTCATCGATGGTGTATCGCTGCGAGGAAGAGTAAGCACCATTCCATAGCTTGGGATAAGAAGGAATCTCTAATGGAAACGACTGTGTATCCACAATATGCCAATGTAACACATTCTACACCAAACCAACCAAAGTATTTATATTAGTCATAATCACTCTAATGAGATTCATTAATCAGACCAAACTGAATCATCTTAAGAGCTTACAAGTTTGGCGTATGTCATTGAATCAATCACTTTCTTTATAACCGGAAGTGGCAAATAATGTCGGGATGTATCTATATGTAGTAACAAAACAAACTCGATCATATCATATAATATAAAGTGATGTGTTTAATTACTAAGTAATTAGAGAAGAAACTAAGTAATCACTTACCAATTAGAAGACCACGGTAAGAAAATCTAGGCTGGTCAGTGATATTCCATGGAGTCATTAGAATCTCTATTATCTTCTTCTTTAAATTAAAATGGCATAATTGGCTAAATGTCTGCATTTTATAAAATTTCACTTTCTTTAATAACTCAACATCTTTTAATTAATCATAATGATAACCAAATTGGGGAAATTAAACACAAACCTGTAGACCATGTAATGCACCATAAACACTCTTTGCCTACATTGTAACACAAATACCAAAAGAGAGTTTATGATATCACAAACACAATAAGCCAACACTAGTGGAACCACATTATTATACTTTTATAAGCTAATGGCTTGTGCTTATGCATTTGTATTATTCTTATAGATGAGAAGAAAACAAAAAAAATAAGACAACACTAATGTTTTAATGCAGTTCACGTGGAAGACACTAGTTCATGTCCCTACACCTATGTTATACATTACATGAGTCTTTATAGTGGGAGAAAGTGCAAAAATGTACTAAAGATCATAAAAAAGGCAAGTGTTTACGGTGAAAAATTGATTGCAAGTCCTTTTTTTTGTCATCTAGAAATTTATTATTAAAATCATAAGAAACTTGAAAGTTACAAATATAAGCCAGCGGAAATCAAAATTTCTCTGGAGTCTAAAGCCGGCGGAAAACATGATATCTACGGAGTCTAAAACCTTATGAAAAAGAAGCTAACAACTGAAATTACAAGGCTAAAAAGTTAGAAAAAGACTCTCATTACAAAAACATACCAAAAAAAACAACTCGACAAAGAAAGATTAAACCAAACCCAATTGATTGCATGTCAAATTCAACCATAAACGAAAGAAAAACAAAATACGTAAAGAGTTAGGTTCTTTTATGGTTATGAAGCTGAGTTTACATTTAACATTTGTATAGGATGAGTATGAGTAGGTAGAGACTAGAGATAGTGATAAAAAGTTAGGTTTAGGTGTGGTGGCCATGCATGGTGGGTGGTATCAGTATCACTACTACCAACTAACCTCAAGGTGTGCATACGAAGGCTTCTCCGGAGATGGAACCACTAATTTGTACGACTCGTCTGCTCCATATTCCAACTGCAACGTTCACAACAAGAATTATACAATTTTAACGAATTTTGTTGGGTTTTTCTTTTAAAATACAAACAATAATTTTCTTGAGAAAGAAACATAAAAAATCACAATAACTTCTCTATTAATTCAATCATCTTTTTCAAATTTTTAATTTCCCGGTCTAATTCTAGAGTAATTAATAACGAACTAAAACTTTACTGAATCGAGCGATATGTAAACAAACATGTCCAAAATTAAAATCTAAAGAATTAATATATCCAAGTCAAAAGATCTTCACCTAAAAAAAAGATGATCACATGATGTAAATTTTATTATGAGAATCCAGACATTTACATAATTTCTCAATAAATACTCATATATTGTTTACTATATTAAACTATGAAATCTTTAAAGATACCCTTTATATAATATAGATGGAATTGATTAGGACCAAAATCTAGAATAATATTTTTAGCTAGGCGTGCACTTACCAAATAAATTTATACTGTGGTAAAGTGAATTAAGTAATCAATAAGTAGAAATTAAGCCCTATCTTAAGCAATATGAACATTAGATTATCATACACACTACTTAAACTATTTATAAACTCTTATCACGTGAAATCTGAACTATAATCAGATTAAAAATCTTGGATAGTAATAAAATTTGGATCTAAGAATGTAATAATATTAAATGATATGATTGAAAATAACGAGGATGTCCGTGAGTGTGGTGGACCAAAGTCACCAGACACCAATCAGCAAAGCTATAAGCAACCAAAACCAAAAATGTATAAAATAAAATAAAGTTGGGTAACCAATACATATCTCTATCAAGTTTTTATGGACATATCACGGGAAAAGTTGCGTAAATTAGAGATTTAATTTGTTAAACTAGAGGAGAGTTGAATATTTTTTTTTGTTATAAAAATTAAAATATGTAATGTATAAAATATGTATTGTATAAATATTTGGTGGTTTTTGTATATAATAGTATAGATATGTGATCTTAAATTAAGGATGATATTAATTATTGTATCAAGAGTTGACAAAATGAAAGAAGTTATAAATGAAGACAAAAGAACAAGTTTATAATACTAATTGGTTGATGATAAACATGTTAAGATGAAAACAATTGGAGTGAATATCTAAATATTTTTCTAAATACCAATCAGAATAAAAACAAGAAATAGATCACTATTCATTTTTTTTTCTCTCTTTTAACTTTTTTTTTACTTATAAGTTTGTTAAATATTATTGTCAGAGTGAAATAAAAATATAGAAAAATACACTACATTTATGTATAATCTCTTTTGAGTTATGGTATGAGTTCTTTTTCATAATATGAAATTAAACCAAAGTCAAATTTCCTGGAAATTAAATGATCAATACAACACTTTCGTTCTGAAATATTTTACATGAAAATGAAAATAAATATTTAGTATAATTTTTTCAAAATTATTTAGTATAGAAATTAACACACAATTAATATTAACTTTTTAATTTATTTAATATGAGTTTCTACATTTTATATACCTAAATAAATAAAAATCCCTGATATAAATTGTATACTGAACTAAACCTTAGTATACTTTTTATATTATATATATATATATATATATTAAGGATTAAATTTTTTAAAGAAACAAAATATTCCTTCACATAATTTTCATAAGATATTTTAAATCTATACTTTAAAATTTCCAAGATATAATTGGACTAGTGGCCAAATAAAAAGTGTCTTTTTATGAAAGAAAAAAAAAAAAGGAAAATAAAGATAATATGCTGCCACATTTGTTAAAAGATAATATGCTGCAACATTTGTGAAAATGACATCTCTTTTTTTTTTTTGTCAAAACAAAGAAAAAAATGACTAATCTCATAAAAATAGATACAAATTATAACAAAACAAGACAATTGATTTGTAATAATGACAATAAACGTAATTATGTTCGTTTAATCAAAACACTAACCTCATCGGTGGAAGAAGAAGAGATAACGACGTGGACTCCCTGAAGCAAACCAGATCCACCGGAGCCAGAACTATTCCGATGACCGGAGACAACATGGCTCAGCCTCACAACACTTAGCATTCTATCAAACCCTTCTTTTAATATCCCTGACTTGTCTCCATATTTGCTTCCCTCCGTAACAAGTTTGAAATCATCACTTAGATACATTCTCCGGCCACCGTGTTTTACTTCCGCCGGCAACGGCCAAATCCTTAGCCTTTCTATGTCATCAAAGGCGGAGATTGCTCCGGCGATTAATAGCGTAAACAACGGCAAAACTCCGGCGATCTTTGCTCCTCTACCTCTCATTTTTTTCTTCTTAGTAATAGCAAAAAAATAAAATGAAAAATAGTAAAAATAAAAATGTAGCAAAAATAGAAGAGAATTCGTAGAAGTCTCTCTCTTCTTATATATACACTCTATAGACAAAGCGAAAGAATTGGCGCATTTTTATTTTTTATGAGTATTAAAAATTGTATTTACATGTTTAATTAATTGATATGTGGTGAAATAATTGTTGACAAGAGTAAATCAGACTTTAAAAAGAAAAAAAGAAAAAAAGAAGGAAATAAAATATCCAATTAGTTTAATCTTTATATGTTATGTGATAACTAAGAATTAATTACGAAAATATTTTATTCCAGTTATCTATATATATAAAGTTAGCTTTTTCTCTCTTCTCATGATGCCACCTAAGCATCCACCTAAGCCACATTTTTGTTTAAACATTAAATAAATTTAAAACATTCATTTAGTGCATATTTATGTTATTTATTTAATTAATACAAAGTTTATATAAATAAATATAAATTCTGTAAAAAAATGAAATGTTAAAATAAGAAAAACAATACTTTAATTTTTTTATTAGTGGTAATAATTCAATTCAACTTTCATTTTAAATTGATCATAATTTAATATTTTAAATTTGTTACTGAGTTTTAGAATGAAAGTAAGATTCAAAATTTATGGTAGACTAAAACAACATTTATGTAATTGTATATATAAAATTATAAAGAGGAAAAATAAAATGAAAGTGAAATATTAGTTTATAACATGATCAAAAAGAAAAAAATGATATTTCATAAATTGAATCAAATGTTTTTAATCCAAATTTGAGTATTTAAAGATAATAATTAAAGAGAAAATAATTATAATATTTTTGAAAATCAATTAAAAAAATAATAAAATATCCATTATGAATAAAAAATCAACGAAACAAAATTATAAACCTCCCGCGCGGAGCGCGGGTCAACTGCTAGTAGCTAATAAAATTGTGATTATTTTAGATGTATATATAGGGGAAAAGGTAAATAATTGAGGCTGTTTTGGTTAGTGATTTTGGTGAGAATTTGGTTAGTTGGTTTTCAGGTAATCTTTATATTGTGGATGTGATTTTCATTGGTTTGGTCATTTGGGGATTATATTACCATTACTAATACTTCCTCTTACCAATTTCAAATTTAAATATATTTTTCTTATGGTTGAAATTTTTATATGTTTATTTTTTAAAGAAATTAACATGGACCATGATAAAATAATAAGTTGATGTAAATTGGACAGCTATTATATTTCACAGTACCTAATATATAAACTTGGTTTGGATTTCAATTCATATTGTTGGGCTTTGCTAAAGCCCATAATATTTTTTTGCTAAAAGGAAAAAATCTCTTTCAATTCTCATCGTCAAATATTTTCCTCCGTCAAACAATCTGAGAATATACTTTTTTTGCCAATGGAGTAGAAAAAGAAAATTAAGTTATCGACGAGGTATTATATCTACCAAGCTTTGACAACTTTAGAGAATTTGAATCTTCGGCTCATTAGTGTTGAGAGGAAATGGTTTGAGAATCATATGCAAACACATAATATACATAATCCAATCCAATTCAATTCCTCAACTTGCAAATTTGAAAGTAATTGGGAGTCAAAATCAACCACTTTTAGAATATTTAGTGTAAAGCCTTAACTGTCACCTCTTTTAGTGGCCTCCATGTATACTCACCATGGATCCACATCAGATCCCAATCCGTGGATCCACCCATATATCTTGGAGGCTTTAAAGACTTGTTTACGGACTTTACGAATCACCATATAATATTTTCCTGTATTTTAACTTCACTCATAAAGTTCCGACAGTCACTTCCTAGAATATCACCCATCCCTGGACTACGCTTAAATATGGTGTTCTCTCATAACTTTTAACCAAAAAATAAGCACAATTTAGTGGCATAGATGGTCAAACCAATTCACTTAAACCAATTCAGAATTGAAACCGGGGTATCACATTTAGGTTGTTGAACGAATATAGAATTTGAAGTTCGAAAGGCGAAATAACGGCGAAAAGAGTTTATTCATGACTCGTAAGGATTGTTCGGCGGCGGCAGAGAAAACTCTACTCGTTTTTCGTGGAACTGTTTTTTTTTTCTTTTTCTTTTCTCGATTTGTTTCCTTGAATTAAGAGAATATTGAGAATTGATATATGTTCTGAAAATTGATGTACACATATTCTACATGTTAAAATTTTAAAATTTTCAATATGTATATTACCTTTTCTAAAAAGTTTAGAATATGGGTTCTACCTTTTGTATACATTCATGACTACATGTCTTACACATTTTAAAACTGATATATGTTCTGAAAATTTTAGGACTTGAATTTTAATATGTATTTTACACTTTACTTTATGGTTTACAAATTTATGAAGCAAAACTATATATTATATATATATATATATATTTTTTTTTTTAATTTTGTAATTTCATTTTTAGTTTAGTTTTTGTTATCCATAAAGTAAAAATAAAATTTTAAATGAAAAAAAAAAAAACCAGAGGTCCGAAACAACACGTTTCAAGCATTTTCTTCGATTCAGCTTCTTCTGCAAAAATATCTTCAAAGAGGACTTGCAGCTAATAATAATACCTTCAAACTTCGTCGTCGTCTCTCCAAGTAAAACTCCAAGTCCATACTCATGGAAGATTGTCAAAACAACCAAGACGACGATGTTTTCTCCTTCTTCGCACCTCCTTACGAATCCACCTTCTCCGCCGCAACTCCGTCCACGCTTTTCAACCGTTCAGCTTACTCCTCTTCTTCTTCAGGCGACGATGAGGACTCCTCTCAGCCTTCCGTTGACGACAGCAACAAACGAATCGATTACATGATCCAATTTCTTGACCGGAGATTAAGCGAAGACGGTAATTTCGACGGGATCGGTGATGGGAATGGTACGGATAGGTCTGATTCGTTACCGGAGTTTGTTGGTAAGTGTGGGGATTCTGGGATTTTTAAGGTTCCGATTAGGTCGGCGGTTCATCCGAATCGTCCGCCGTGTCTTGATTTGAGGCCTCATCCACTTAGGGAAACTCAAATTGGGAGGTTTTTGAGGACGATGACGAGTACACAGAGACAGTTATGGGCTGGTGGTGAGGATGGTGCGTTGAGAGTTTGGGAGTTTAGTGAATTGTATGGAAGTGGGAGGGGATTAGAGGTAGAGGATACGGCACCGTATAAGGAGAGTTTGGGGAATGAGATTGGGTCTGCTGTGGTTTGTATGATTGGTGATGAAGGTAGTAGAGTGGTTTGGAGTGGGCATAGAGATGGGAGGATTAAATGTTGGAGGTTGAGAGGTGACCATGGTATTGAAGAAGCTTTGTCCTGGCAAGCTCATCGTGGTCCTGTTCTCTCCATTGCCATCTCGGCTTATGGTGAGTGTGTTTTTATTGTAAGTTTCTGATTTTACTTGTTTACTCAGTTTAGATATGGAATTTTTGTTAGCAAGAGTAGTTTTTAAGATGAAAGAAGAAAGATTTATGATGTTGACAATTGAGTATCTTATTGTGGAAGTCTTCGGGTGAGGACCCAAATTTAGTAATCTTGATAATATTTGGTGTCTGAGTTCTGATTCCAGCGTTCAGTAGCTAGTTTCCTGTTCAGAAAAATATTGTTTTCTTTAGCGTTAAACTGTCTATTGCTATTGGCATTTCTATTTCATCCTCTTTTGTCGCAGATGATTTTATTGTGTTTAGCCTTCTATCTTAACACAGATTTTGTTATCAATTATCTAGGAGATATATGGTCAGGGTCTGAGGGAGGTGCTCTTAAAGTTTGGCCCTGGGATGACGCTCTTGGGAAGTCTCTTTCTTTGAAGATGGAAATGAGGCACATGGCTGCGTTATCAGTGGAGAGATCGTATATTGACCCTAGGAACCTGGTTTCGGCCAATGGATTTGCTAATACATTAACAGCAGATGTTACAGTCCTCGTATCTGATCATACAAGGGCAAGAATGTGGAGTGCTAGTCCCCTGACATTTGCTTTGTGGTAAAATGGAGACTCATTTTTGTCTACTTTTCTTATACATCACCCTTTCTGATTCCGATTGAGATTGACCATCAAGAATATACCAGCACCAACCATAATAGTCTTAATGGGAATTAGTTATTTTTGTCTACAATATATCTTGTCAATTGCCTCCGTATTTTTCAATTTCTAGCAGGCACACTGTTTAAATTTATGTGTATAGCTGAGAGCTTTCTTTTTGTTTATTGCATGGCAGGGATGCTCGCACAAGGGATTTAATCAAAGTATTCAGTATTGACGGGCAGCTCGAGCGAACTGATAATTCTATATATCCTGATTTTGGGATAGAGGAAGAGGGGAAGATGAAGAATGCTTCGAAGAAAGAGAAAGCTCAATCTTCTCTTGGTTTCTTTCAGCGGTCTCGTAATGCTCTTATGGGAGCAGCTGATGCTGTTCGTCGTGCTGCAACGAAAGGGGGGTTTTGTGATGATAGTAGGAAAACTGAGGCTGTTGTCATAACAGTTGATGGACTGATCTGGACAGGAAGTTCAAATGGTGTACTTATGCGATGGGATGGAAATGGTAATTGTTTGCAAGATTACTCATACCAGTCCTCTGGTATTCTCTGCATGTTCACTTTTTGTTCTCGAATATGGGTTGGTTATTCCAACGGCACTGTTCAGGTATTGGACCTTGAAGGAAAGCTACTTGGAGGATGGGTAGCTCATAGTGGTCCTGTGATAAAAATGGCTATCGGGGGTGGTTATATATTTACCCTGGCAAATCATGGAGGTATTCGTGGGTGGAATGTTACTTCTCCAGGGCCCCTTGACAATGTATTGCGAGCTGAGTTGGCTGGGAAAGAATTTTTATATTCAAGGATAGAGAATCTGAAAATATTAGCTGGTACATGGAATGTTGGAGAGGGGAGAGCATCGACCGACTCGCTTGTATCTTGGCTAGGCTGTGCTGCAGCTGGAGTTGAGATTGTAGTTGTTGGACTGCAAGAAGTTGAAATGGGTGCAGGAGTTCTTGCAATGTCTGCAGCAAAAGAAACAGTAAGCTTTCTTTACCTACTATTAAGCTGGAAAGATGTATTTCTTAAGGCTTATGCCACACTATCCTGGCCACTATCAATGCTATTGAAGTTCTACAGTTACTTTCTTTTAGAAAACAGTGCACAGTATGAAAATAATTGGGTCAACTCCACCAATTGATTGGTCTCTGTTTTGCGTAATACTCGAGGCCTTCTCAAGTAAAAAACAAACTCTGCACTCTTAAACATGCAGGCGTACATGCTGACATACGAACCCATCCTTTTTCCATTCTCTTTCTGGTTATAATTTTTGTAGGGGGCTAATTCTTATAATTTTAGAGCTATGAGCCTATCTGGAATTTGCGCCTCAGGTTTAGTTCATTTCCCTGAATGCAGGTGGGAATTGAGGGTAGTCCACTTGGTCAGTGGTGGCTGGATATGATCGGGAAAACTTTGGATGAGGGATCTTCTTTTGTTCGTGTTGGCTCAAGGCAACTGGCAGGGTTGCTAATTTGTGTATGGTTAGTATGTTGCTGTAGTGTAACTCTTTTTCTGTTCATTTATTGCAAGCATCAGTTGTCATATTGTCATGATTTATATTTTAGACAGTAGTTGAAGCATATTCCATGTTATTTGTGCTCATTGGGTTCGCTTTTAATCCTGGTTTGAATAATCGCCCCATAGTAATTTTACATAACAGCCTAGTAACAGATTGGTAGTATCAATTTTTTTTTTTTTTTTTTTTTTTTTCAGATTTGGTTAGTTAATTTCTTCAAATACTTCTGGTCCTAAAGCTATGGAAAGAGTGTAAAGATTTTGGTGTTACTTATCTTGCATGTTTTCCCTCTGGGGAATATATTTTACCAATATTTATTTTCGCAGTACTGGATGAATGTGATAAGAGTAAATATTTTTTTCAGGGTTAGACATGACTTAAAACCTCATGTGGGAGATGTTGACGCCGCTGCGGTTCCTTGTGGTTTTGGACGAGCGATTGGCAATAAGGTATGGTGCCATATTCGTAAAAGTTGATCAAAATTATTACCGACAATAAGAAAGATACCATAAAAGTGAAACAATGGATTATCTCAAACAATATCTGATGTTTACTTAATGGTTCTTGTCCCTTTTCCATATTTTGTCATTTTATCTCTATTATGATAGGAACTTTTGTTTCTTATTAGGGTGCTGTTGGTGTGCGACTCAGAATGTATGATCGAGTATTGTGCTTTGTAAATTGTCATTTTGCTGCACATTTGGAAGCGGTTAGCCGGCGAAATGCTGACTTTGACCATGTTTATCGAACAATGACATTCTCAAGGCAGTCTAGTTCACTCAATACGGGAGTTGGTATGCTGCGAAATTTATTTCTATCATGCTGTGTTGCCTGCTCAGCTTATTATTTTTTGCCTATTCATTGGTCACTCTTGTTATTGGTCTCCTCCATTGCAGCTGGTGCTTCATTTGGTGTTTCAGTGCCTCGTGGTGGCAATGTATGTTTTTCGTTGTATAGTTACTGTCTTTCTTTTTCAGAGTCTAATTTGTAATGTATTTAAAAATTCTAAGAGCTGTATTATCACAGGCTGTGGGTGTCAACACAGTTGAATCAAGGCCTGAATTATCCGAGGCAGACATGGTCGTATTTATTGGAGATTTTAATTACCGTTTGGATGATATAACTTATGATGAAACAAGGGATTTCATTTCGCAAAGATGTTTTGATTGGCTTAGAGAAAAAGATCAGCTACATGCTGAAATGGAAGCTGGGAATGTTTTTCAAGGGATGCGTGAAGCAATTATCAGGTTCCCTCCAACATACAAATTTGAAAGGCACCAAGCTGGTCTAGCAGGTCAGTGCTTGCTTTCACTTTGTTGCATCCGGTAATTTCAAATTGATACCATGCCATAGTTTAAGCTGATTTTGTAAATCTTTCCAAAAGATAGAGAGTAAAATAGAAAACATAATGAATTGTGAACATCTAAGTATTCTCTGCTAGGTAGGTAGCCCAAAACTCGAAGGTCATATAATTTAAAAAGTTAAGTGTGAATTTACCCAAGTACTTACAGAGAAATACTACAAATAATATGAAGTTAGCCTTGCATCTACCTAATTTCATTCAATATTATGTTACCACAATTTCTTTCATCTGAGATGGTTCCGAAAGGGTTTATGGTATGGTCTATGGGTTCTTGTCAATGGAAACTGGGAAGATGCTAGATCTGTGATTACTATACTAAGGGCTTTGGGATTTTCAGGGCATTTACTTGCTGAAACCATATTTGACGGTTGAAGCTGTATTTCTACAGGATATGATTCTGGGGAAAAGAAGCGGATTCCTGCCTGGTGTGACAGGATTCTATATCGCGATAACAAGAAACATTTGGGATCTGAGTGCAGTTTGGACTGTCCAGTGGTGTCTTCTATATCACAGTAAGCTTCCTGTTTTTTTTTTCCTTGTGTAATTTTCCTGTTAGTTAACGATATAAAGCATACTAGAGACAGGCTGAGTTTACTAGTACATAGGTTTTATTCCATTAGTAGATTTTGAAGAGTGTCATTTGTTAACTGATTTACGGCTGTAGCTTCTTAAACTAAATGGCTATAACAAATTATCAGCTTCCTGTTTTCTTCTCAATCCCTTCAGTTCTGGTACTCCGATTGCAATATTCACCAACCATTCCACATGTTCTCTGAATCTTAATCTGCCTATGATGACTCCTAATGGAAACATTTTGAATCGGCCTATAGTGACTTGCATGTTTCTTTGTAAAATTAACTTGTTTTAGAAAAGAAACATGGCATTTGTTAGATGTTCTTTTTTTATCAGTTTAAATGCTTTGTTGCTCTGATATTAAGATTACTTTATAATCTCAGAGACTTGGGTATAGAGTCTGTGGAATACAGATTTGAGTAAATCATGCTTTTTTTGTGGTACTTAATAACTTTGCTTAACCCTTTATTGAGAAACGATTAAGACTTACAATTCTTTTTTTGTAAGGTATGATGCCTGCATGGATGTGACAGACAGTGACCACAAGCCCGTTCGCTGTGTATTTAGTGTCAAGATTGCGAGGGTAGATGAATCAGTTAGGAGACAAGAATTTGGTAACATCATTAAATCGAATAAGAAAATCAAGGTCATGCTTGGAGAGTTAAGCAAGGTTCCAGAAACAGTTGTCAGCACCAATAATATAATTCTCCAAAATCACGATTCAACTATTTTGCGCATTACAAATAAGAGTGAGAAGAACATCGCTTTCTTCAAAATAATTTGTGAAGGCCAAGCCAAGATTGAGGACGACGGTCAGGCACACGATCACCGAGCAAGAGGCTCTTTCGGGTTTCCCCAGTGGCTGGAGGTTAGTTGTCCTGTCTTACTGTTCTTTTTCCTAAGAAGCAAGACTTAACTGGCATGTTTGAAAAGTAACTAAGCAGAAACGTGAGCTTGTTCATTTGATTTCTAAAACTCAAAAAAGTTAACTTCGTAAGTAGTTACCATACTGATAGACCTCGTAGCTGTAGATATGGTACAATTAGCCTCAATCAGGTCGGGCTGTTGTTTTAATGCCCCGGGTTGTTGAATATAGGTTTTAGTTTAGGTTTGTTGGGTTTTCAGTTTTGGAAAATAGTTGCCAAAGTAAAACATAATCTTGTACCTTAGTATAAGTTTCAAATCTTAAACCTTATATGTGTGCCTTTGCGTATATCATGTCGTGGTTCTTGAGAATATATATCCTTAGAATGTGATTACACTAAATATATATTTGTTTTCTTAAACAGGTATCTCCAGGAACTGGAACAATCAAGCCAAACCAAATAGCCGAGGTATCAGTCCATCTCGAAGACTTCCCAACAGTAGAAGAATTCGTGGACGGTGTTGCTCAGAATTCTTGGTGTGAAGACGCTAGAGACGAGGAAGTAATATTAGTCCTAGTAGTACACGGAAGGTTCTCGACTGAGACAAGAAACCATAAAATCCGTGTGCGTCACTGCCCTCGTGGAAAGAAAAAAAACGACGACGATAGACCCAAAACCTCGGGACAAATAAACGCTCTTCATCGCTCTGATTATCAACAACTAAGCAACACTCTCGATGTTGTTGAGCAGCTAAGGAACTTGCACAGTCCATAGATCCAATTCTAAGTGTACAGATATGAACCTCCCCGAGGTTTCTAAGTAATTCGTAACTCGATTTCGCGTGTTTTAATGGGAAAAATTTGTGTGATTAAGAGGACAAAAGAGATTAGCTTCTTACGTTTTTTTGTTTTAAGAGGCTAGTTATGGTATGCAGGGGGGATATGTTCTACTAAGTGTTATATTATTGCTGTATAAGTAATGTGTTTGTATAATGTAACCTTATTGCTTGTGTAATTCTCATTTCTCACTCAATAAGTATTTCGATACTTCCTACTATGTACGTGTAAACGAAACTCTTTTGATAAAACGTAGCTTTAGTGCCTTTGTTTACTTTTTATAGCTGTTATAAGTTTAAACAATCTAAGCACATATAAGATGTGTTGCCAAACAGATTAAAGTATATATATTTTAATTTCATGTAATTCCAAATTTGTAGCTAAACAGAATTAATGATAGAAGAATAAATCTTAGTTGGGTTTGGGTAATAATATTACGCTAATAGCTCAGCTGGTAAAGATCTCTGGCAAAAGCTCAGAGGTCGCCGGTTCGATTAGCGCTTGAGACAAAACCATATAACATGCCCTCGTTTCGGACCTGAGGGGATGTATGAGATTCGGTCCAGAACCTCTTTGATTATTTAAAATAATAATAATAATAGTTTAAAATAATAATAATAATAGTAATAATAATATTACTTTGATCGAGCCAAAATGAACATCATATCTTCAAATCTCTTAACAGAGTAGCTAAACATTGTTAATTCATACGGTGTTTAAGGTTTTGACACACTAATTAATAAAACATATAACTTACCCATTTTCCATAAAAATATCATTAACTAATATGAATTCAACCAATAAAAAAATATGTTGTAAAATATAATTGGTCAAAAAATATTAAATATATTAATTTTTTGCATAGGAAATTGAAAACATCACTTATAGTGAAACAAAAAAATTGGCTAAAACATCACTTATAATAATAGAAAGGGAGTAATTGTTAGTGAGAAACAACGTCGGTTAAGGCTAAAACAAAATCCCCAAATTGTGATTCAAAAGTCATAATCAAGAAATCAAATCCCCAATTTCTCATTTGGCGATTTCTTTTTAGTCTTAAACGACGTCGTTTCTCAATAATATCGATGGATTAATGATGGCTAAATGTCTGTTACGTGTTCTATTAATATATTTGAGGATATGACGTTCATTTTGGCTCGGTCAACGAAAGATGATGTTATAAAAACCAAGACAACGACAAGTTCATGTTTTGAATGGCCACATAGAAAGTTTGTGGTTTAAATATGCTAAATTTGAAAGTTTGTGAATTAGATGACATTTTTGCCATAATATATTCGGATCAGGTTTAATGACACATATATTTACTTTGCCTATTTTCTTAATAAAATAATATAATGTCATTTTAACATAAAATATTTGTCAATCAATCAAATAAATTTGGCTCTCATCTGTATATTATCAAGTTTGTAAACAATTGTCCGTTCAATTGGCTCGTTTGAGTTAATTGGATTAGTTGTAGTGGATGACAAAAAAAAAACATTCCTTATGGTATAACCCCAAAACTTGCTCCATATAACATTCCTTATGGTGCAATTAACGCTTAATAATTTAGGAAATCGTATTTCAAAAACGCAACTTCAGAAAATCATGCAATATATTATTTAATAATTAGAAAATTGTTTAAAATTAGAAAAATTATTTAAAAGAAATCCTAGGAAATCCTATATCTTTTTATAGTTGGACTAAAACATGACATATCTTTTTAAGATATACCATCTCAAATATAGAAAAACATGACATATCTAGGACGAGACAAGTTTTTGTTACTGTTTTTTAAATGTAGTTTTCGTTAATGATTAAAAAACCAAATCCTATCGTTTTTATCTAAACCGAATTAAAAACAAATCAAATACTGTACTGAGAGTTTGGATTAGAAATATTAAGAACATTCCTAAAAAATACGTTTACAAACATAACCCCGCATATACATTATATATTGCAGACTTGATAGCAAACTTAGTTTTGAAATCAATTATGCACATACGTGCGGATCCGAATCTAATTATGTTTAATGTGAATACATAACATGATATTTAATGTGTTATTAAGTTATACAGAGGGATTAATTTATAAGTTTTGTACATTCTTTTTAATAAGCAATGCGATGCTTAATTATTCCACTAAGCAGGTATGATAATAAATCTATTGAAGTAAAGCTGAAATAAAGAAAAGAAAATGAAGAGATACCATAAGATAATTTTAAAACGACCTTATCGTTAAAAAAAATTATTCCTATAAATTAATTGATCTCATGAATCACCATCATGCAAATGGTTATCTAAGACACAAACACATCATTTCATCCATGGTCAACCAGCTTCATGCTAAGTCCCAGTCAAATGTGTGGTTGTTGCCCAATTCAGATGGATCTGTAAAAGCATATGATTTAAAATACAGATCACAAAGAAGTAATCCTACAATCTTCCAGGGCCGATTCTCTATCTAATGGAAGTTGTGCCCTGAATACCTTCAGTGTTAGTGTTTGAGGCGCTGTCGGTTGCGGGAGTTCTGCTGTCGTGGGCTTGTTTGGAGAAGGATCTGAGAGTTTCGTTGGTGGCTTCGTTGTCCATGAAGGCGGCCTCTTTGCCTCCTTCGAATTGGATGCTCGGTGTCAGGGGGAATCCTTTTTCATCCAAAACCTCTGGTGAGGCCATGAGTGTTGCTTGGTATAAAGCCTTTGTACATGGGTTCTCTCGGTTTTGAATTATTGCGTCTATGGTTGAGTGGTGTAAAACCGAGTTTAAGTCTCCTCTTCCCAAGCCTGCTATGACATATTCCAATCTGGGATCGGGAAAATCGCCGCAAACTTTCTCGTCGGGATACCTTTTTATAAACTGTCTTCCTCCTTCTCCTATGATTGCCACAACTACAAGGAGTGGAAGAAGACTCCATGGCCCGAAAACAACAAACACCAAGCATACATAGCATGCAAACTCAGATAAAAGTGCGATCTCACTGAATAATCGGACAGTTTTTATCTTCGATCTAAAGATAGAATCTAACGTAACACATGAGGTGTAAACCAGTCCCAGACATTCAGCACAGAAGACAATAATTTCATATTCTCACCTTCAAGCATTTTAGAGTAGTGAGCCGCATTAAAAAGAAAGCAAGCCAGAAGAAGGGTAATGTTGATTGAATCAAAAGAGTCCAAAAGCAAGTTAAAAAAAGTGAACTCTTACCGTAAAAAACTATCAAAAATGAGAAAATCAAATTCAAATCTAATCATAATGCTGTTCTATATTTTTTTGTTTGCTTATTAATATGTTCCTAGTGATTTTTGTAATGTTGTGTTTAGTTGTGTGACTAGAATTGAAATGAATAAAATCATTTATTAAGAAGTGAGAAGATGATGAAAACATTCATCGATCATATATATACAATAGCTTTGAATGATAAAATACAAAAAAAATATTATTTTCATAACACGTCCAAATTAGATGAAGATGTTACTATTGAAATATTATTGCAAACACTTTGATAATATAAACTCCAGCATAAACCGATCTATATCATAGCATCATAGCATTGACCTCTACAGGGAAGATGATATTTCACATTAATGAATGCCATTTTTATAAGATAAGGTATAAAAATTCTTTAATATGAATCACTCAAACAAATTTGGTACAAAATTGTTGTTGTATCTTCATTCATATCTTTTGTCTAACCATAACTAAATTATTAAAATTCCTTCTAGTGATAAATTAATAAACTATCAAAATCTTGAAATTATTACTCAATCCAACATTTTTAGTGATTTGTGTAAAACCAACAAATCCTATGTTATTAAATCACGGATTTTAAATATTTTCTTTTGAAATTCAATGTTATTTAACTAGTGATTTGAAAATCTAGTTTTAAGTCTCATGATATCCAATGTTATTGAATTAGTGACTTGAAAATTTAGTTTAAAATCCATTGTTACTAAAAACTTTTTGAGAATTTGGTTTTTAATGTTTTGAAAGGATCAAGATTTTAGAGGATTCTTTTAGTTAAAATCTAATAAATTCAAACCTCATGATTTTAGGTGGGATTTGAAATGATTTTTACGATTAACCATATCAACTACGTGAAAGTCACTCAAAATCGTATTAAAACTTAATTAAAATCGAATCACTCAAAATATAAGATTTTTTGTTAATATAAGTCTAATGACATTGAAATAAAAAATAGCCTTGAGACTGATTTACAATTCAGTAATTATTTTTTCATGTTTCCAAATAAATCTCCGGCTCTTAGGGGCCGATTGGTTGTGACTTTTAAGGGTTGAAAACAATTTTAAAGTCTTAACAGTTTTATTGTTGCTAATCAAGATTTTTTTACTTTTATTTTTTTAAAAGTTCTAAAAGCCACTTTATTTATTTTCTTCTTTATTTTATTTTTTTCTAAAGTCTCAATCGCACGACTGTAGAAACTTTAGAACAAACAAGTTTTAAAAATTATTTTTTCTTCTCCCTATAATAATTAGAAACTCTCTATAGATTTTTATATATATATATATATTTTTCAAACTTTTTATTTGTCATTATGTTACATATGGATTAATATTGATCATCATATATTTATAAAAATTATATATTATAACAACAAATGAAAAATTCAACATTTAAAGTTATTTATATTAACAATTATATTTTAACATTAAAAGTGTCTACAACCAAAGTTTCTACCGCAAAAGTCTCTACAGCAAAAGTCTTTACAGTCACAGTCTTTACAGCCACAAGTAACAGCCGTTACCAATCGACCCCTAATCAAAACTTTAACATATAAATTCACTTATAGAATCTTCGAAAACCAATTTCTGAATTGTAAATCGGACTCCATGCTACATATACTATACACTTTTTAATGACATGATGATAACCAAAATTATCTAACGATCATGTTTAAAAATTCGTAATAACTAACGTTATAATAAAAAGAGATTAAAGTTTGAAGAATCACTTAATACTTACTCGACTTATAATCAAAGATAGAAATGATATTTTCAACGTTACGTACGGGAGGCTCCCAAAATTACTTGGAAATCAAGCAACTCGATTTTCAAATACCTTAGAGATATATATGGCGACGTGCGCCGTTTGCTTCATACTTTGATTCTTAAACCACAAAGAAACCTTCTTCTCTTTATCCAAGACCCTAAAGCCAAACTTATATATATACACACGTGCACACTTCTACATCTTTCATCAAGAAAATACAATAATCTTTAAACTTTATATCAAAATCACAAAATGGGGTTCTCTCTAAGCTTTGTTCAGGTCTTTAGCATCATTACAACAATCTCTATGTTCCACTTTGGTCAGTTCGACGCAAGAACTAGTCTTAACGTTCTAAGCTTCGGTGCAAAACCTAATGGCGTCGTAGACTCGGTAAAAGCCTTTACGGATGCATGGGATGCTGCATGTGAAGTGGCGGACTCGGTCGTGATTTACGTACCGAAAGGAAGGTATTTGGTTAGTGGTGAGGTTCGGTTCGAAGGAGAAAGTTGTAAGAGCCGTGAGATAACACTAAGGATTGATGGAACTTTAATTGGTCCTCAAGACTATAGGTTGCTTGGTAAAAGAGAAAACTGGTTTAGTTTTATTGGTGTTCACAATGTTACGGTTCTTGGAGGTTCTTTTGATGCTAAGGGATCAACCTTGTGGAGTTGTAAGGCCAATGGTTACGACTGCCCTGAAGGTGCAACGGTATGTGTTAAGTCTTAGTTACCAAATTATATTTGTATTCACATTTTTTTTTTTGTCAACAACATGCATTTTGCGAACCAAGTAGTCTTAGTCTAGTGGATTTCATTTGAGAGAAATAGTTATCTTGTCCGTATAAGCCAGAGATCGATTCTCTTCAAACGTAAAAACACTAATAATTAATGACTTTCACCCGGTCTTCCATGAACCCTTAGGAAATTACGGCTCTTGGCCCCAAACCTTCTAATTAAATAAACATGCATTATTTGGAATTGAATTTAACTATGTAATATAAAATATAGACAACTCTAGAGCAACTACTAGGCTACATCTCCTAATAATTATGCAATTCGTTTGGTTACAAATAATTTCTATATTTTGGTATTTTGAAGAAAAATGCACCTAAGAAATTTTAGTGTTTTTTAGTAAATATTTTAATTAGGACCGGGTTTTTCGTAAAATAAATATTTAACTTTAACTCGGAAAAACACCCTATTATAAAATTTATTATATATGAACCACACAAGAACACAAAATAAATTTATGTTACAATATACAATCAACGTTTAACATTGGTTATCACATTTTATGTTAGACATTGAGATTCATGGACTCATACAACGTCAAGATCAAAGGAGTCTTATCATTGAACAGCCAATTATTCCACATAGCAATAAACCGTTGCAGTAACATAAAAATCGAAGATGTTCGGATCATAGCACCAGACGACAGTCCAAACACTGATGGCATTCACATTCAGCTATCGACCGACATCGAAGTCCGAAATGCTTCAATCAAAACCGGAGATGATTGTATCTCTATCGGACCAGGTACAAAGAACCTTATGGTAGATGGAATCACTTGTGGTCCGGGTCATGGTATCAGCATTGGGAGCTTAGCAAAGTCCATAGATGAGCCAGGCGTGGAAAATGTGACCGTGAAGAAAGCTGTGTTTGTACGGACGGACAATGGTCTAAGGATAAAGTCTTGGCCACGACATAGCAATGGGTTCGTGGAGAGGGTTAGGTTCTTAGAGGCTCTTATGGTTAATGTTTCTTACCCTATCCTTATTGACCAGAACTATTGTCCTGGCGATTCTTATTGCCCTTCTCAGGTTCGTTTTCATATATATAACCTTTTATCTTGAATTTTTTTTAATATTTATTTTAAATTTTTTTATATTTCTTTACTCAAATTACTTTTAAGTTGAATCATACCAAATATTTGACTCAATTAGAAAATTATGTCTGATTTTAAAATATAATGAATTTGATTGGTAATTACGTTTACTCTTGTTTGGAAAATCAATGCTTACTTCCGATTACTCCCTTGTAATCTCTAGGTCCACCAATCCGCCTCGATTAATGACTAATCCCTTAAAAAACAGTCATCCGGTGATTATTGATCCGCTTAATATGAGTATTTCCCGGCTAATCTGATCATTTTTGGATTAAACATATAAAACAGTTCTTTTTATTGGTTATTAAACATATATATTGAGAATTTGTGATGTTTTACAATAACATCGGTTCAATAATGAAAATAATAAATTTGGTTTAAAAATATGGTTTATTTTTTTAACTACAATTTTGAAACTTATATTATAGGGTTGTGTTTATACCGTATATATATGATTTTTTTACCAATTACAAAAGCTGCAAAATTAGTAACTAAAAAAAAAGTGATATGAAAATTAAATTAAAATATGAAAATATAACTTTTTTTCAGGACTCTGGAATCAAAATAAACGATGTAATATATAACGGAATCATGGGAACATCAGCAACAAAGATTGCTATAAAGATGGATTGCAGTGAGAGAGTACCATGCACTGGGATTCGAATGCAAGCAATTAACCTAACTTACTCTGGTGGTGATGATGAAGCAGCAAAGACTTCTTGCATAAATGTTTCTGGTAAGCAACTTGGTTTGGTTTCACCTAGTGGATGTCTCTAATTAAACTCTTTATTCATACCAAGATTTGTACATAATATATTGTAAAAAAATTCATTATTTTTACATACTTTGTAACCATTGTAAATGATTCTGTGTATAGAAAATGTGGTTGTATCAACTAATCATCATATTATTTGTAATTCCGTGTATGACAAGTTTATTAATTAGACAACAACACTTTCATAGCTTCTTAAGGATAACAGGTGCACCAAATTGTGGGTGAATGGTCATAGCTTCGTAAGGTGCATGAACATAGTTAGGAGAAAGCTCGAAGGAGAATCTCTGAAGAATTAAAGCCATTGCCATCTTTACTTCCAATAGGGCAAAAGTCTGGCCGATGCATATCCTTGGTCCCCACGCAAAGGCAAAGAAGGAAACTTGGTTCTTTGTTGCTTTCAAAAGACCGTCTTTAAACCTCTCGGGTTTGAACTCCGCTGCATCGTTTCCCCACAGTTCGATATCTCGTTGGACTAGCATAATAGGTAGATTAATCTGAACTCCAGCTGGTAGTGTCAAGTCTCCTAGCTTCATCTCTTTCTCAGTAGCTCGCAATAGCTGAACTACTGGTGGATATAGCCTAAGTACTTCATATAATATCATTGTCATCTGCAAGGGATCAAATCAAACCATTCAGCAAAAAGAAACAACACACCACAAAAGTACTGATAGGTTTCTAGTTTGGTTTTTACATACAACTTTGAGCTGGTTAAGGCCTTCTTTATCTGGTTCTTTATCGCCAAACACTTGCTTCACTTCTTCTCGCGCACGAACCTGCCAGTCTTGGTGTTGGCTTAACAGAACCATTGTCCAAACCAAAAGTACTGAAGTTGTCTCTTGCCCGGCGAAATAGAACATCTTGCACTCTTCTATCACTTCCTCAATGCTCAATCCATTTCCTTTCTCTTGACCTATACTTGACTCAAGAAGTATACCCAACAGATCATCCTTTGGTTCTTCCCCTGCTTCTCTCCCCTTTAACCTTTTGTTAATGATCCCTCTCAGTATAACTTGGATCTCTCTTGATGTTTCTTTCATCCTTCTATTATGCTTTGTTGGGAGATAACTACACAACACAAAGATACCATATAGTCAAGCTCTAAAGTGATGTTGTGTTTAAAACCAGACAATTTGAGTTTTTATCTTTCTTTACTTGTATCCAGGGAAAGAAGCTTTTCGAAAAGCTAGCATAACAAGCTCAGCTAGTTCTGCCTGGAGCTCAAAGATCCTTTGTCCTTCTTTGTAGCTGCTACCAAAAGCAGTACGAGAGATCACATCTCCAGTCATATTCACAAGCCAAGGCCAAACGTCCACCTCATAAGGCGACCCTTTATTGGAAACTAACTTGTCGCATTCGCGAACAACCTCGCTGCAGCTCTGGTGAAATGCTGGTACCATATTCTATACATAAAAGCAAAAGACATAAATCAGAGCCAAATTAACACATACATACACTCCTAATTTTAAAACAGAAAATTAGCTTGGGCAAAATACCCGGAACCCGACCGAAATACCCGAACCAAATCTGATCCGAACACTAAGGAATGTCCGAACAAGTACTAAACTTTTAAACCCGAAAACCGAATGCGAACCAAAATCCGAATGGGTATCCGAAATATAATTACATATACATAATATTAATTATTTTTAGATTTTATGCATCCCAATTATATAATATTACAATTATAAATCTAAAAATATCAATTATTTTTATATCACAAAATTTAAATATCCAAAATAACCGAAATATATGAAAATATTAGTTTTCCAAATCAATAAATTTAATCAACTTCTTCAGTTTTCTAATATGGATCCCGAACCGAAATAACTCGATCCAAACCCAAATCCAACCCAAACCTTAAAAAAACCCGAACGGATTAATCAATATCCCAAAATCCGAATACCCAAAAATCCAAAATACCCCAACCAAATCCGATCCGATACTCGAGTACACCAAGGCTAGCTAACTTGATTAAGAACTAAGGAAAATAAACCCGAAACCTTGATTTTCTCAACATTGAAAGCCGGATTAATGATTCTTCGGTGTTTCGCCCATTTATCACCATCATAGTTAGCAACTCCAGTTGCTATCAACCTAGCCAAAGGGAACGTATGTGGCTTAGGGAAATCATAAACGTTGTTGAGAACTTCCTTAATCAACTCAGCATCCACTATAGTAATGAATGGTATAGTTCCCATCCATGTAAAAAAAGTCCTTCCTGTTCCAACACACATAGAGATTGAGACTAAACAGAGAGAAAAAAGACCTAAACAGAGAGAGAAAAAAAAAACAAACCCTACCGTGAGTCTTAAGCATTTTAAAGGGATAAGGCAAAACACGTGGAGTGATATCATCAGTTAGTTTGATGGGTTTGGATTTAGCTTCTATCAACATGCTAAGACTTTTCTTCATGTCTCCTACAAGAAGCGTGTATGAAGTTCCGACAAGACCTTGTCTTCTTAGGTAACTCTCAAGCATCTTAGGTTTAAACCAAACCCAATTCAAAGTTCTCCATACCCACCACGACACAATAGCTATAGCTATTGATAATGCTACCGACGCTACTGATATCTCCATTTCCCTTACCAAAGAAGAGAGAAAGGATTTGCTGACATTCTTGGGATTTAATAATAGTGACCATTGATCTTTTGCTTTAATGTCAGAGTCATATCCCACTTAGGTGCAAGTAGCTTATTTAGATTAGTTTCAAAATAATAGGAAGTGGAACTTATATTGGCCATAACTTTTGTTGACGTTTCTTTGTCACTCACTCACCATTAATGGGATTTTTTTGTTTGTTTTTTCTATCTAAGAAGCGCATTAGTAGGGATAACAAACAAAATCAATATGCATAATGCGTTTTTCATACCTAAATAATGCAACTATATATGCATTTTTAAACCCTAACCAACACAGAGATCAAATAATTAATTTTCGTAAATTTTTAAATTTTAGCCAAAAAAATATCATATGCATTGACATAAACGTAGTTTAGTGAACCTTTTGTTTAGGTGACTATCTGACGAGATGCCATGCTGTCAAATAGTCCTGGGATTATTACCCGAACCGAAAATATTAAACCAAACAAACCAAGATTTTTGGAATGAATTATAAAATGCAGTCGGTTAATAGTTCGGTTTATATTAATGGAACGGTTATCCAAATTTACTGAATTATATTACCCAAAATTAACCAAACTCATCGAACGATGTAAGCAAAACCCACATTACCCTAAATTAACCGACCTAACCGAACCAATTGAACTTAATTAATCAAATTTACTCGAATGAACCAAAATTAATCAAGATAATCGAACCAATTTAAAACAAACTAACCAAAAATTAAAATATTTGGTTAATTTTAGTAACAAAAAAAAATAACCGAAAAACTCGATAGCTACACGTTATTTAATTCGGTTATTTCTAGTAACATTTCTAAAATTCCTGAACAACCGAATTATCCGACCCGATCCGAAATCCTGGTCCATTTGGAGTTATTAAGGTAAAAAAATGGAAAAAGATAGCTGGGTACACCAACTATAGAAGAATGCATGGTCTTTTTTCTTAAAAAAATCGTTTGAGTTTGGTTAAAAATGGAAGCTACTCTCCCTTGCTTGTTTTTTTTCCTTCTCCCAAAATGGATTCACTAAATCTTGATGTTGTGAACACACTCTTGTATTTTTGTTAACCCAATCCATATACTTCATACTTCAAACATTCGAAAGACTAAAATGTACATTGAAATGCTATGTCATATAAATAGTATCATTTATTATTATTGGTAACTTGTACACTGAATTGAATGACTTCAACTAAAACTAAATAAACACATACGCGACACAAACGAGAAACACACGTTTTACCAAACTCTTTCTCCCTTTACACAAACCAAACCATCTTCTTGCAACAAAATTTTCAAATCATCATCTTCTTCTTCTTCTCCATTACAGATTTAGAACGAAAATGGAAGAAGTTAAAACAGTGCAGAACAAGAAAGTGATCTTGAAGAAGTATGTAGATGGCATTCCTACAGAAGCAGACATGGGAGTGAAGCTCGGAGAGACGATTGAGCTTAAAGCACCAAAAGGGTCTTCTTGTTTCCTTGTTAAAAATCTCTACTTGTCTTGTGATCCTTACATGAGAGGTCGTATGCGTGACTTTCACGGTTCCTACTTGCCGCCTTTTGTTCTTGGTCAAGTAATATATATACTACTTAAAAATTTTAAAGTTTTCAGCTTTTTTGGTTTGTGTTAATTGGGTATGTGATTGGTGTTTCTGGGTATTGTTTTGTTCTTTGAAAGCTCGAATTTTGAAGATGGGTGTGTAAAAATAGTGTCCTGGTGCGATAGAGAAGTTTTTGCACACCAGGTGTTCGACGTTTTCACGGAACTTGTGAATGTATTTAGAAATGCTGCAAAGTCTTGAGATTTATCTTCTTTTATTCTTGAATTGTTTATAATGAAATAGGGATGTGTAGATTTCGAATTGACTCATTTTCATAATGTTTTATGACTCTTGGTTTGAAGTTTCCTCTGTTATATTACTCTGTATCAAGCGATTGATATTTTGGTACTCGTGATGCAGCGTCTCGAAGGGTTTGGTTTAGGAAGAGTGATAGATTCTGATGACGTTAATTATAAGCCGGGCGATATAGTCTCGGGGATTATTGGTTGGGAAGAGTACAGTTTGCTTCGTAGTGTAGATCACTTGCAGTTGAGGAAGATTCAGTTAGATGATGACATTCCACTTTCTTATCATCTTGGACTTCTTGGTATTGAATCATCTTCTGTTTGATGTAACCAGTTTGAGCTCATTATTGTCATACCCTATAGTTCTCTGATTCTTTTCACTTTTGACAGGGATGCCTGGATTTACAGCATATGCAGGGTTTTATGAGATTTGCTGTCCTAAGAAAGGGGATACTGTTTTTGTCTCTGCAGCATCAGGAGCAGTAGGACAACTTGTTGGTCAGCTTGCTAAGTTGCAGGGCTGCTATGTTGTTGGGAGTGCTGGTAGTAAGCAAAAGGTTACTACTACTTAGTCTTTAAACTAATTTTAGGAACTCTTACTCACTTGTCTTTGTGAATCAACTTTTTTGTGGATATATCTCAGGTTGATCTTCTTAAACACGAGATTGGGTTTGATGATGCTTTTAACTACAAGGAAGAAGCTGACTTTGATGCAGCTTTAAAGAGGTAAATATATCGCAAGATCCAAACTCGCTCGTTCTTCTGCACACCGTCATTGTTTGAGGAAACGTGAAACCTATTTGTATCATTGAAAGGTCACTTATGGGGCAATGCTATTCTTGAGATTGTTATGGCTTATGGAGTAAACGCGAAACCTGTTCGAAACTACGCTTTTAAAATGTGCAATAAGAACTTAATACCACCATTATTGCAACTAAATTTACACATCTTATCAACACTGTGACACTCTTGTAAGATACTCTAATTATACCACTTCAAGTGCTTTCATGTGGCTAGCTCTAGGGAATGTGATAAGTATCGCACATAATGTGAATTGATACATAACTATTAAGCTGAAATGTTTCATTATTCTACTAACAGGTACTTCCCAGAGGGGATCAATATTTACTTCGACAACGTGGGTGGATCCATGCTTGATGCAGCTCTCCTCAACATGAAAGTCCGTGGAAGAATCGCGCTTTGCGGGATGGTATCTTTGCAAAGCCTCTCAAGCTCATCACAAGGAATCAACAACTTATACAACGCGATCCCTAAACGAGTAAGATTAGAAGGGTTCTTGCAGAGCGATTACCTCCATATCTTCCCACAGTTTCTTGAACACGTCAAGAGATATTACAAGGAAGGGAAGATTGTATACATCGAAGATATGTCTGAAGGCCTCGAGCTCGCTCCTGCTGCACTTGTTGGGTTGTTTTCTGGGGAAAACATTGGTAAACAAGTTGTTCGTGTTGCTAAGGAGTGATTGTTTCTGAAAGTATATATATAGTGCAAGTGATTACAGAACAAGTCATTGTATGAAATAAAGTCGCCTTGTGTGTAACATCTTCTTGCCCACCAAAGCAAAACGTTTTGATCAGTTGGAATATGATGATATAATAATCCTTCGGATATTTTAGAAATTTCGATTCGACTTCTTTCGGTTCGGTTATTTAATAGATAACCGTAATTCATAGTTAACCGAAATTAACTGAAGAAATACGAAAAATATATATAAAATTGGTTTAGTTTTGCATAAATTAGTTAACTCTGACAAATATAACTAACAACATTTTGATATGTTAGATTATTCATTTTTTTGTGTTTTGAGTATAGAAATAATTAATATTTTTAGTTTTATAATTTATAATTGGAAAAAATGTCATTTAAATCACGAACATTCAAACTTTGGCCATTTAAATCACGAACTTTCTATGTGATCATTTAAAATATGACTTATCGTTAACTTATTTTTTTAAACATCATCTTTCGTTTACCAAACCAAAATGAATATCATATCTTGAAATCCGTTAACAGAGCAGCTAGTCATCATTAATCATATTTGTTAGTGAGAAACGACGTCGTTTAATGCTAAAACGATATATCAAAATCGTGATTCTAACGTCATAATCCAAAAATCAAATCCCTAATTTCTCACTTTTTTTACTCTTAAACGACGTCGTCTCTTACTAATAAAGATGGATTAGTGATGTCTAAATGTTTGTTAGCTGTTTTGTTAACAAATTTTTGGATATGATGTTCATTTTGGCTTAGTCAACGAACGATGATGTTTTAAAAACTAAGTCTACGAAAAGCTCATATTTTAAATGATTATATAGAAAATTCGTGATTTAAATGACCAAAATTTGAATGTTAATAATTTAAATGACGGTTAGTCTTTTATGTCGGTCAACCGTTAGGTTACTAGTTCGACTAGTTTGGTTTTCGGTTAGTTTAGATAAATTATATTTTCTGACCATTCACTAATTTTTGAAATTTTGGTTTGAATACGGTTTGGTTTGGTTTGCTTCGGTTCGGTTCGGTTATTGGTTATTTTCCACCTTTATGGACTTTTCAATGTGTATTTTCGGATTCGTATCGACCCGACCCGAAACAAAACGGTCAAAATCAGCAGAAGAAACACGTTGAATCCTCCTTCTTCTTCTTCTCCGACTCAGTGACGACGATTCGTTTGACGCTCTCTTCTCTCGAACACTTTTGAATCATCTTCCACGTTTGCTTCGATCCTTTCTTCTCTACTCCTTCTTCTTTGTAGATGTAAGTCGTCTCTATCTCCATTCTCATCATCCGATTAAGTTTCTGGTACCTTCTAAATTTCGTCCGCGATCAATTTTAGTACCCAAGGATCGTGTTTCAGATTGCTCATAGTATTTGATGAAACGCTTTGCACCAGTGAACCGATTTCGAATTTCACAATCCTTAGATGTTTCTGCCGAGAAAAATGGATTTAGGACTTTTCTGGGTTGAGCTTTGTGATGAGCTAGTACGAATCAATCCATTTGAAAACCTGAATTATTCGTGTTTTTTTTGGATTTTTTGAATGATTTGTCTGATTTTTGCGCGGTTTTCATTGGTTTAGGAGTAATGAATTTTGTGATAAGTTTGCATATATCAATGTAATGACATTAGTTTCTTATACAATGATTGTGCAGATTGGTATAGGATTCGGATTTTGCTGGTATGTAGCTGGTTCTTTACTGTATATAGCTACACGTTTACTGAAATTATGGCTTCGAGAGCGCTTCTTCGGAGGAGGAATTACGTTGTTAAATCTCTGAGTGAACGTTTGCCTACAATTCAATGTCTTTCAAGCGTTGAGCGGTTAGGACAACGAGGATATGAGAATGTTAGAGAGATGAGTTCTGATTCAGGATATGTATCTGGCAAACCTGATTTAAAAGATGTCAAGAATAAAGAGTCGGGTGTTTCATTGGATGGTTTTTATAGAGGTAGATTACTTCAGTCTCCAAATTTTAGTAATGGAGTTGGAAAATTAGAAGTGCCTTATCCTTTGGGATATAGATTGGTTCGACAATCTATGTACTCCTCTCTGGCAATGGCTAACAAGCCTGACCATGATAAAAAGGGAGAAAAGGTTACCTCACAAACTAAAGAAGCTTCTCCTGAGGAGTGTGATGAAGCTGTTGAGGGGTTAAGTTTGGCTAAAGCTAAAGCAAAAGCCATGAAATTGGAAGAATCTCAAAAATCTGATATATCCATTATGCAACGTGTGAGGTCGTTTCTTCTGGGAATAGGTCCTGCGCTGAGAGCTATTGCATCGATGAGCAGGTAAGGCTGCAGTTTTTTTGTTGTAGTGTTTGAGCGATTTGATGCTATCTATTGTTATTTAACATATGATCTATTATGCAGGGAAGATTGGGCCAAGAAGCTTCGCCATTGGAAAGATGAATTTAAATCTACCTTGCAACACTACTGGCTGGGGACAAAGTTGCTCTGGGCTGACGTCAGGATTAGTGTAAGGCTGCTTGTTAAACTTGCTAATGGAAAAGGTCTCTCCAGGAGGGAACGGCAACAACTCACTCGAACAACTGCCGACATTTTTAGATTAGTTCCGGTTGCAGTATTCATTATTGTTCCATTCATGGAGTTCTTGCTGCCGGTATTTCTTAAGTTGTTCCCAAACATGCTGCCGTCAACTTTCCAGGACAAGATGAAAGAAGAGGTACTGTTAAACCCTATTTTATTGCTTCTCTGTTCTTTATACATGTTTTATCCGTTTTAGTTACTGGTATTGCAGATTCAGTTGCCTAAAAATGTGACCGTGAGATTTTTCTAGTTATTATATATTTTATGACTAGAGTACCGAAAACTTTTGCATGACTATTTGACAGACTCAGACTCAATAAGCTATATTTTCACATTTTCATCTAGTTTTGGCAAATTCCATCCTCAAGATATTGTAATACACTTAAGGTTCAGAAGGAACTTTAGCATTAGATTAGATATTACAGCAATTTAGTGTTGTCAGTTACTTTGGAAAGTGGCCTAAGACGGTCAGGAGTCATTCTACCTATGTGATGGGTTTATATTCATCATGGGACAACGAAGTTTACTTTAGTTTTCAGCTTCTGGCAAATTAGTGCTGAAAATATTCTGTTGGTGTTTTTGTTTTCCCCCTTTGATGTAGTAAGTAGTAAATATTCTGCCCATTATAGCCCCACATTTGATGTACATGTGTAGCCTTTGACCTTTGTTTCCTGTAGAAGTTTAAAATGTTTAAAAATAAGGCCTACATTTGGATACTGGAATTAGTTTAAATTGGTTTAGACTGCGAACCTTTATTAAGGCTACTCAATTTTAATTGCTTGCTATGGGATGAGCAGAGAAAATAAGTCTTGGTTTGGTTTATTAGTCTCTTAAGTATTACTATTTTATTTTCAGTCCAAGTGATACTTATTAGTTCTATTAAATCATACCAATTTATAGATATTTTACAGTGATCTGGGAAGTATGAATTGGTTTGATATTTCAGGCTAATCATAACTTCACGTTTCATTTTCAGGAGGCACTGAAAAGAAGGCTGAATGCAAGAATGGAGTATGCTAAGTTTCTCCAAGATACTGTTAAAGAAATGGCAAAGGAAGTCCAAACCTCACGCAGCGGAGAGATTAAAAAGACTGCAGAAGATCTCGATGGATTTATGAACAAGGTTCGCTTTCCTTGCTATTCTACAAAACTGACTTCCTTTGGTAATCTTCTAGATGAACTGATAGCTTCGTTATTAATTGTACAGGTTAGAAGAGGAGTCGGTGTTTCAAATGATGAAATTTTGGGCTTTGCAAAGCTCTTCAACGATGAGCTTACATTGGATAACATTAACAGGTTACGCATTAGTCTATACTGTATATAATGGTAATGATACTGCTTCTGTCTTGGTTTGTTTTGTTTACATTATCTTCCTTACTGCAGGTCTCGATTGGTAAATATGTGCAAATACATGGGTATTAGCCCATTCGGAACTGATGCATATTTACGATATATGCTTCGGAAAAGATTACAGGAGTAAGTTCAACATTGTTCATATTGCCATTTTGCTTGTCAAATGTCTGACAATGAGTCCTAGTTTCCTACAATATTTTTCTCTATTTCTGGTGGCATCGTAAGAGTTTTGTGACAATCATTTTACTCCACAAAGCACTCATTGCAAACTATTTGTTAATCGGAATTTATGTTTCTTTTTCATATTATCATTGGGCAATGCCATTCCTTGGATTTTGTAGGATTAAAAAAGATGATAAGTTGATCAAGGCTGAAGGTGTGGAGTCTCTCACAGAAGCTGAACTTCGCCAAGCTTGCAGATACAGAGGAATGCTTCAATTAGGTTCAGTTGAAGAAATGAGAGAACAGGTTGTCATTTATAAATCTTTGTGGAATTGTTATTAGAAAAATTGTACTCTTTGTGGACAAGAAAGAGATATGGTTTGTGTTGTAAAAGTTAAATTAGAGATAGAGGTGATTTCTGATCTGTAAGTCTCTCATTGCAGCTAAATGACTGGCTCGATTTGTCCCTCAACCATTCGGTACCATCATCCCTCTTAATTCTCTCTAGGTAAGCTTCTCCTGCAACTCAGTAGATAGAAATACTATATACGACAGAATTAGAAAATGATATTGCTGTGCTTATTAACAGATCATTCTCAATGGCTGGGAAACTCAAGCCTGAAGAGGCTGTTCAAGCTACTCTCTCCTCTCTGCCAGATGAGGTTGTGGACACAGTTGGAGTTACAGCTCTGTCATCAGAAGATTCTGTATCAGAAAGGAAGAGGAAGTTGGAGTACCTAGAAATGCAAGAAGAATTGATCAAGGTATATATTTGTTGTCATACCAAGTAAAGCATGATTGTGGAGCTATGTATCTCTTTCCCGTGTATCCAGTCTGGAAAGTCCCTTGCATGCTTAAACTATTCTCTTACTTCCGATTTGGTTGAATGTAGGAGGAGGAAGACGAAGAAGAGGAGGAAATGGCAAAGATGAAAGAGTCTGCTTCAAGCCAAAAAGATGTAGCTTTGGATGAGATGTTAGCTTCTACAGCCAAAGATGCTAATGAACAAGCAAAAGCGAAAACTCTGGAGAAGCATGAACAGCTCTGTGAGCTTAG